GCTTTTTGCTATGCTAAGTTGGAGGTGCAGTGGGATATTCTGTAATGAATGATATCCAAGAGACACTTGAAAGCTTGGAACTCAGACTGATATTTATTTAGAAGATATCTGCACAGAGGTAATAACTAAATGTATACAGTGGATCAACCATCTGAGAAGGGTAGGAGTATACAGAGGAAAGATCAGGGAGTCATCCTTGGGAAATACCTCCCACATTGAGGGAAGTGAAAGAGAAGCCTGTGAGGAAGGATGAGGAAGAGGGAGAGAGGTGAAGAACATATCCCCACAGATGCCAAGAGCCAGAGCAGGCTTCAAGGGGGGTGGAAGTGCTGGGAGGGGTCATGAGTGAGTCTCTCGGAGAGAGAGAGAGAGAACTGTGGAGGGGCCACTGGACTTGGCCTCTAGGTATTGCTGATGAGAGAAGAATATGTGGAAAGAAAGACTAGACTGCAGGTGTGAAGGAAGGAAGAAGGGGTGTGGGGGAAAAGGAGGTCAACTGAGTACGGTAGGAGTTCAAGAAGTTGGGAAAAGAAAGGATAGAGATGTGGTGGCGGCTCAAGGTTGGAGCAGAATTGTTCTTCCCCAGATGAACGACCACACACAGTTCATCTGGAGATGCCTATTTGTCTATACAGTAAGAAGTAGAAAGAAACATTGGTGGAGCAGGCCAGAGGAGGACATTTGCAACAAACTAGATTGAAAGGCAGGTTGCTGCCATTCTAAAGCCGTAGACCATGTTATCACTAGGAGTCCAGCAGCATCTGCTTTAGCGGAGACAGAACTCATTTATCACGCATCCACAGACTGTGAGAGAGGGAAACGAGAAACTCTCCCTCTCCACTTAGGAAAACAAAGTTTGATACGCTCTTTGAAAAGAATTCAAAAGCTTTGGAAAAGTATTTTAGCAAGGAAGGAACACTAAGAAAAATAAGTGCATGATATCTTCCCTTTCCTGACTTTTGTGCCCAAATGCACTCTAGGAAAATGCCTCGGTGCATCATTAGACCACTCCAACAATACCTATGAACACCGCCCAAGTTTAGGACCTCCTATCCGCACAGTGCTTTTCATTCTACAAAAAGCTCTCATGATCGCTTTCATTCTCACAGAATCCCTGTGAGGTTTTACTTTTCCTGTTTTACAAGTGAAGAAGCCCAGGATTAGAAAGAACTGAGCAATTTCCCCCCAAATTACACAGCCGGGAAATGGTACAGCTACATACTCTTTGCTCTTTTTCGTACACATTCTCAAATATCACTCACATGGTCCTCCCAGTATTATGCTCTAGGTATGGCATGACAAACCACAGTGTAGCAGGACTCTGATCTCCCCCTGGTGTGGGGGCTCTATAATTATCAGTATAGCCTAAAACTACATTAGCTTTGGAGCACTTGTGTCAGATCATGTTTTTGATGGGATAAAAGTATCCTGTGTGCCCTGCTCACCCCCATCATGAGAGCCCTAGGGCAGAAGCTCTTAGCCATGTTTCCTTCCCTCCCACACCTGCCTGGTTCATTCAGCCCTCTGAAATGCATGAACAAGGCCTCAATATTTAAACTTGCTCCAGACGGGTCAGGAGGTAGAAACGCCATTTCTCCCTCAATAATGGGTTTGGTCTTGTAGGTAGAACACCAGACTGGGAAGCTGAAGGCCCAGGTTCCAGATTTACTCTAGCTCTGTGACCTGAAATCACTCGATACTTAGCACTTAGTATCTTGATCTGAAAAATGACGATAGTTATTTTATGTCTGCTGCAAGGATCCAGCGAAAGACTTGTGAAAGTAGGGAGGGCCCTGTGCTGGGTTTAATTTTCTGCTATGGTCGGCTTGAAATTCTTTTTTTTTTTTTAAGAGTTTATTTTTATTTATTTATTTATTTTTTTGAGAGAGAGTGCGCGAGCAAGAGGAGGGGCAGAGGGACAAGCAGCCTCCCCGCTGAGTGTGGAGCTTGACATGGGGCTCAATCCCAGGACCCTCAGATCATGACCTGAGCTGAAGTCAGATGCTTAACTGACTGAGCCACCCTGGTGCCCCTTAACTTGAAATTCTTAATTTTTGTAGGAGGAGCTGTGCATCTTCATTGTGCACTGGGCCCTGCAAATCATGTAGCTTCGTCCTGCCTATATGACCTCTCTGGGCTCCAATCTATAATTAATTGAATTGTTAGGAAATAGACAACCCTCAATACTTCTTCTACTTTACCTTTATATATATATATAGGTATATATATACTGTTAATCCTGCATTTCTCACAGACGGGTATATATATATATATATATACCTATAACAATATCTACTTTACTTATTAGCAAAATTTGACACAAATGATCACTCCCTTCTCCTTGAAACATATTTTCCACATGGCTTCTGGGACACTATACTTTTCCGGTTTCCCTCTGCTTCACTGGCTGTTCCTTTGCTGTTTCCTCCCTAATCTGTTAGCATGTCCCAAACTAAACTCCTCATCTCCTGCAAGCCTGCTCCTCCCAGCCTTCCTCATGTATTAATGGTAACTCCATCCTTCCAGTTGCTCAGACCAAAACCCTTGTCTTAGTCTTTGACCATCTCTCACTCCATATCCAACTTGGAAGCTGCTCCAGAATCTGACCACTTCTTTACCACTCCCATCACAGTTCAAGGCTTAATCACAGCTCACTTGGATTATTGCAAGACCCTTCTAACTGGTCTCCCTGCTTCTGCCTCCTCCTCTGTCGCTAAGAGTCTATTTTCCACACAGTAGTCGGAATAATCCTTTAAATATATGTCAGATCATATCAGTCTTCTCTTCAAAACCATCCCATGACAATCCATCTCAATCAGAGTAGAAATCCCTACAAGATGCAACAAACTTACCCCTCTGAACCTATTTCCTACCACTGCAGGCCATTTACCCATGTCTCTTTGCCTGGAATGCCCTCCCAGCTATCAGCTTGGCTGGCCTCTCCTTCCGTTCCGCTCAACGGTCACGCTATCCATCAAGCCTTCCTTGACCACCCTATTTAAATAGCAACGAGCATCGACCTTCCCCTCATTCCTTAACCTATTGTTCCCTGCTCAATTTTCTCTAACACACTCATCACCATCTGATATATTTTTTAAAAATTTGCTTAGTGTTTCTCTCTCCGCATTAGACTGTAGACTGTACAGGCAGGGTCTTTTGTCTTTTAGCTGCCGTATCTCCAGCACATAGGACAGTGCAGTGAATGACAGCAGGCAGAGTTCTGGAACAGACAATGGGATTACTTTTATTAAGTCATAGCCAGGTCGGGTCCTCTGAGTGTATGAAGTAACTTCACAGGCTGCATGCCCTGCATAGAGGAGTGTGGGCATTTATGGGGGGCTCCTGTGGCAGCCTCTCACTAGATTATACTGTGGGGATGGAAAGGTGAGTCAGGAGAGGTGACTACCCCCTAAGAGTTTGACGCTCAGAGAGAGGTTTCACGTGTGTTTATATGCAAATAACTCTAGAACCAGGCAGCATTTGTTAAAAAATATCCAGCCTTTAATGGCTAACATCTCACATTCTGGTAACGACTCCAGAGTTTTCTACAGAGAGAAGGGACAATGAACTATGGCTTTTGAACTTGCTGTGTGGCTACTTCTGCCCCAGGCAAGTTCCTGCTCTGGCCTGCTTATCACATCAAAGACACCTTGCCCGACTTCCAATCTAGTTTTCTCCAAAGTCCCTCCACTGGCTCCCTCCACCCACTATTGGCCCTACTACTGTTAACTTAAGACCCCGCCCTCTCATAGTCCCTCCACATTCTGCTTCTAGATACAAGGAACATGAGACAGGAGTGGAATCAACTTAGGAAGGCTGCAGCAGGCTAAGGAATCTATTATTTCCTTACAATAAAGATGTGTATGTCTATCTTGAGCATATGGTGCCCAGAATTCAGGGACTACACCTGTTGGTCTTTGCATCCTGACAGTCTTGGTCAACATTTGGCACAGTACGTGCCATTCCCTAAGGTTTGCCGAATCATTGAACTGAATGTAATTAGCCCTGAGTAAGGATCATTCTAATTAAGAAGTACTTCTGCGCATGGAACACTGGGTATTATATGCAAACAATGAATCATGGAACACTACATCAAAAACTAATGATGTAATGTATGGTGATTAACATAACATAAAAAAAAAGAAGTACTTCTACATCTTCTGTAAGGTACCCCAGAGATATTTTATGAGGTTATTTTATTGAGCTATCATAAGAAACAACCAGTACGAATTAAAGCATCAAATAAAGGGACCAATATTTGAAATACCAGTTTAAATGATAAACACTACTACTTTAAAATTTTTTATTTTTATTTTTTTATTCAGTTAGCCAACATATTACTTTTAAAACTTTTGAATTTGTATTTGATTTCTTTAAACCCTATATCTGAAAATCCAAAAATTGTCAAGAGACAAATTGCAAATTACACCTTCCATTCCCTCCAGGACTCCTTTGAAGAGAGAGTCTCTGAGGTTATGAGTTTTTAGACCTTTTCTTATGGGAAAGACTGGAGAACTGAGAAACTTAAAGCTAAAGCATTAGGATCTGGTGACTGAAAACCACATTAAGTCTGGGTGCTGGGTATATGGGTGTTTGTTATGTAATTCTCGATATTTTCCAGTGTGTTTGAAAAACTTGCTTCTCTCATCCATTCACACTACACATACATTTTCATACCCAGGTAAGATCAAGCCTGAAGAGATAACCTGTCTTATAATCAGTAAGAGGTGCTGTTGGCAATAAGTAAGAAAATTTGGGGCAGGTAAATCATTCCTCTCCTTGGCTCTCAGTTTATCTCTATATAAAATGGGGGGAGGGAACTAGATGGTTTTGGGGACTCTTCTACTTCCAATGCCTTACTAGTCTAGAGAAGTAGGAGGCATCTATTCACATTTTAAAGGTTTTCTCTTTATAAAGGATTCTTTTCAGATTTCCTGCATTTCTTCAGTGCATTTAAAACTATGACTTGGGGGATGCCTGGGTGGCTCAGTCAGTTAAGTGTCTGACTTCCGACTCAGGTCGAAGATCTCAGGGTCCTGGGATCGAGTCCCGCATAGGCTCCCTGCTCAGCAGGGAGTCTGCTTCTCCCTCTGACCCTCAACCCACTTGTGCTCTCTCAAATAAATAAGTAAAAAATAAAATCTAAAAAAAAACCCATGACTTGGTTTACCAAAATCTGGTTACTATATTTTTATTATTAATAAAAGCAGCTAACACTTGTTAAGCACGTTCAATATGCCAGGCACATATAAAATGTTTTATACATGTTTTATACAGATTATTTGATTTAATCTTCCCAATAACACCAGGAGATAGATACCAATATTGTCCCCATGTGTAGATAGGTCAATTGGCCCCCCTAGGCTACCTAACTTGCCTAAGCAACACTGGAATTCAAACTCTCTTCAATGCAATCTATGACTCTAGAATACTGTTAATCCTGCATTTCTCACAGACGGGCTGCTCAGATCAAGGTGTGTTCAGTGGTCCTTCCCTATTTGAACAGTCATGGTCCTCTGTGCCTCCCTGCCTTCTCAAGTGGGGTGACCAACTGGGGATGGGGTAATTCCTCTGGTTTCCACTTAATTTCTGTGGCATAATATGGTCATATTTTCATTACAAAATTCTTTCTGACCTTTCCCGGACAAATAACGGTGGATTTCACTAGTTATCTTGAGTCACTGGACAATGATCAGGTGAGCAGAAAAGGGTTCAGATTTGCTTTGAATTCTTAATTTAGTTCTTTGGGTCTATCATCTAAATTTCACAGCATCTACAGCAAAACTTTACATTATTTTGCAACAGATTAAGGTAAAAAGAATGCCATATGCAGGAAAATCATGTAAGATTAATTTCACATCTTCATAATGTTCACATTCATTATTTTCACTTTTGCACAAGAACTGTGTGAGGTGGGCATATCAGGAACTATTTACCCACCTTGCAAATGAGGAAAGAGTCACAGAAAGGGGAGGTGACTTATTCTAGGACATGGACCGATTAGGTCCTAGACCTTGGGTCTAGGAAAAAGGACCATCAGACTCAGGCACTTTTTGGCAGACAGAAATAAATGACTGTTGTACCAGAGGCTGTGCCATGCCAGGCTGTGGCCATGGGGCTCCCTCTATAACTAGCAACTATGCTACAGGATGAGGATGGTAGGACTAACCATGCCCCCTACTCATACTTGTGCAGTGTGATAAAGAAAGTAGAAGTAGCCAACAGCTGTGGTCCAACCAGATAAAACTTTTAGGCGGGAAGTTAAGTGACAAGTAAATTTGTGTGCCTGGGTGTCTGTGTGTGTTTAACCGTTAGGTGCTTTTGATATTTTTAAAAAGGTTACTTGTGGAAGTCAGACCAAAGAGCAGGAAGGTATTACAGCAAGATGGATTTGGGAAAGGACCAATCTCACTTGAAACTCCATCAGACACCTAATCCTCATCAAGAAGAGAACCATGTTCCAGGTAATGAAAGAGATCTTGAGAGGTCTCTAGTGGCCACTCAGATGTCTTAGTGACTGTTGGGAAGAACTGAGGCTGTGATTATTTTCCTAATTTTTATGAATCTGGCTCCCAAAAAGGACATAATTGAGTATGTTCACATAACCTTAGATGGGAAGAATTGGGATTGTATACCTTCTGAGGTGACTTCTAGCGCATTGATTCTAGTAAGCCAGAGAAACACAAGGAGATAGCAAGTAAATTATTAATAATATATTCAAGTGAAAGAAAATGAAAATACCCAGTACTGGATGGTTGTGGTAAAACAAGTACACACTTATACTTCTATAGTAATGTAAATTTGGTATGATTTTTGGAAAGAGATCTGGTCTACCTATTGCCACAACTGTAATAGTGCTTATTCTTTGGACTCACTAAACTTAGTCTTGAGTCTGTCCTAACGTGGCATTTCTCAAAACGTTTTTTGCAGAACCCTAGGCCTTGAGACAGTTTTTAAAACACTTTTGTGCCATGGATCCCTTTGGCATTCTGATGAACCTATAGACCCCTTTTTAAAATAAATATTTTAAATACATAAAATTGATAGGATTCCAAAGGAAACAACTCTAAGATACAGTTATCAAAATGAAAAATTGTGATACAACAATATATATGCTTATTTATGGATGTATTAAATAACAAGATTATATTAAGTGGGTCTAAAACCATTGTATCAAATCAAATATATTATCTCAAATAAATTCTATTTTAAGGTATCTGAAACAACTGTATTATAATATGAAAAAGATCTGATTTCTTTTGGTGACAAAGTCACTTACTGCACAAAAATTGCTGAGGTTTGTCACCTACGTTCATAATTGAAGGAAATGTAATTAGACATTGGTGAAAATAAAGGTATAATATTCTTCCATCTAAGTTCACTGTAAGAACTTCTGTCCTAAGAACAAAAGGTGCTGTGGTCCAAGGGCATGCTCTGGCTCTTGGGGATCTCAGTGCAAGTTTGTAATCACTTTACAGGCTCTAAAAAGACCCATTAACTTTTCACAAAAAACAGAAAAAGGCAACAGAACATTTTTTTGATAAACAGAAAAAGGCAACAGAACCTTTTTTTGATAACTTTCCAAAGAACTTGGAGAAACACCATCCTAAGGAAAAAAATTCAAAAGGAAAAAAGCTGTATGCATGAATATTCTTATTATAATTTGATCTACAATGGCAAAAAAAAAAAACCCTTAAAATTGGCAACAACCACTACAAGTGGAATGACTGGGCAAACAGGAATCCATCAACTTGATTAAAGTTATAAGGACTATCTCATAGAAAATATATCTGACATAATGTTAGATTAATAATGATATATGGTATGCTATCATTATAAATTTGTGTAATATATGGGCTAGATGGGTATGAGAAATAAAATGAAAATGGGTTATAATGTGAAGGATGGCAGAACATGGCTAATTTTTTTCTTTTATGTTCCTATAATATGTAAAATTATTTTGAAGAAATTAATGGGTTGATGGCACACTTAGGTACTGACCCTTTCATTTAAAAATGTTTACTGAATGTTTGTTCCTAGGCATTCTTTGGAGGTACAAGGGTAAATAAGATATGGTCCTTGTCCCCCCAAAGCTCGGAACAAAACAGACACCTAGTATAAGGATTCTACCACTCTGCCATAGGACTCTTGCTGATAAATGCCACAATTTATCACTGCATCCTCTAACTTCCATTTTGATCCTACAGAAGTCATTGGAACTTGGAATTTGCGAAACAGAGAGCAACTCAGAAAAAGGAAAGCTGAAGCACAAGAGAAGCAAAATTTGCAATGGCATTTTGGGTATAGTATCATTGCAAGGGAAAAGGAACTGATATTTGTCAAGTATGTGCTGTGGGTCAAGTAGCGCTGAGTGCTTTTACATACTATATTTATCTTTTCAACAATCCCATAATTCGGGAGGTGTTCTCCTTACTTTACAAAAAAAAAAAAAAAAAAAAAAGGAACCAAGTCTTCAAAGGTTAAATCTCTTGCCTAAAGTCACATAGCTAGTAAAGGGGTGGGAACAGAATTTTATTCCTATTCTTTTTATTTTTTTTAAAGATTTTATTTACTTATTTGTCAGAGAGAGAGAGCACAAACAGGGGGAGTGGCAGGCAGAGGGAGAATCAGGCTCCCTATTGAGCAAAGAGCCCTATGCGGGACTCGATCCCAGGACCCTGGGTCATGACCTGAGCTGAAGGCAGACGCTTAACTGACTGAGCCATCCAGGCGTCCCTATTCCTGTTCTTTTTAAATAAAAGCCCCAGGCAGTTGAATTATACTGTAGAGAGGTCTGGTGTTCTACTACTCTGGTGATATAAACATAGAAACATCTCGTTGGGAGCAGGAGATAACTTTGAGGAGAACTTCGTTAGTTTTCCAGGCTTTCAATTAGTAAAATCCTAATTGAATGAGTGCGTTAACTCTCCATGGAATAAACCATGGAAATAAGTGATGGAAGAGTTTAGGAGTTTTTAAATCTCCAAGCAAAGTCACCTGTATATAATCTCAGAGAGGGAGTACGAGACCATGATTATAAATGAGGCAGCTTCTAAGTGCATCTATTTAGAATAGGAGTATGAAAACAGAGGTACTTGGAGATGCTTGGAGATAGAAATGGGGAGTCCAAGGAGCCAAAGTGCAACACCCATCTAAGCCAGAGTATCTCAACCTGGGCACTATTGATGCTGTGGGCAGGATAATTCTTTGTGTGGGAGGCTGTTCTGTGCATTACAGATGTTTAGCAGCATCTCTGGCATCTAGAAAGTAATAGAACTCCCCTACCCACATTGTGACAATCAAAAATGTTTCCAGACATTGTCAAATGTCTCCTGGCATGGGACATAGGGAGGGGGGTGATGAAGGGGCAAAATTGCCTCCCAATTGAGAACCACTCATCTAAACACTCTTATATTATTACTGTTGTTGTTGTTGTTGTTAAATTAGCAGTTAGATTTGCATTTCTTCATTGCTGCAAAAATGTTTCTTTCGATGGCAAAGATAAAATAGGTATACATATTTCTAGGCATCGTTTAAAAAAAAGTACAACCTAAATGTTTTAGCACTTTTCTGGAGAAAGGGCACCTATCACCGCAGTGGACTGAATTACTGGCTATTCTGCTACAGCACCAATCAGCTCACATATGATTGGTAAATAGGAGAATGATGTCAGTATAATGTGGAAGTTGTATGGGTTCGAGATTTTTCCTAGTCAAAAGGGAATGCAATTAAAACCTTTGGTAGGAAAGGGAAAAGCTTTCAGCTGCTGCATAAGCAGGGTCCTTTTCAGCCTGCCTCTGGGGCTCCTTCCCCAGAGGACAGGACTGGCCCTGCACAGCTCTCCACATGTAGGTTGTACTTGCCCAAGCCCTGTGCCCAGCCCAAGGGCAGCCCTGCTGGCTCAGAGCACCACCAGCATTTGCACGATCTCAGCAGCTGAAAGCCTGCATTTACACTGCTGTTTTGTGTATTTTTGCTATGGCCCAGGCAGCCTCCAGCCAGGGGAAGCTGCCTGTCTGTACTACTCAATTTATCTCCCGGGTACCCGTTATTGTTTTTGTTAGTGTTAAAAAGTTGCACAGGGGGTGCCTCTATGGCTCAGTCGGTTAAGCCCCCGACTTCTAATCTGGCTCAGGTCTTGATCTCAGGGTTGAGGGTTCAAGCCCCGCATTGGGCCTACTTAATAAAAAGAAACAACAAAAAAGTTGCACAGGATTTGGGTCGTTTGCCTTAACTCTATTTCTCCCCACAAGCACTGTATTTTAGTGTATGATTTTGCAGAAAGGTTTTCCAGGAATTACGTTATATTATGTTATAGCAGAAACTTCTATACTCAAGTCCTGTGGCGGGTGACTCTATTGAAGAATATCCTATTAGCTCCCCTAATTCCATACTCTCCAAGAAACCTTCTGATCATTACTTGGCTTCTCAAATACTTGCTACAGAGAAAGAATTACATTCATGTTAGTCCAAATATCCTCTGCTATGTGACTCTGCTTTTCTCACTGTTCACTTAAAAATTGGTCTTTAGGTTTATATATTAGTCTCTCTGAGATGGTTGATAAGTTCTATCCCTGATAAATGGAGTTAGTCTCAGTGTGCTGATAGAATTGGGTTTCTGAGCTTGCTGGCTTGGGGCGGGGGCAAGGCTGAAAAAGCCACTGAAGTGACACTTCAGTGTCACTTCAAAAGTCACTGAGATGACACCTTGGTGAGCCACTTGGCAGCTGGCTGGCCATGATCTTGTGACACATCTCTATATTACTGAGGGCTGTTCTTACTACAACATACCACACACTGAAACCTTAGTGGTTCCAGAGAGAAGCAGGGGAGTATAACGGTTGAGAGCCCTGGCTATTAAAGCCAGAATGACTAGATTTGAAGCGTGCCCCCCCCCCCCTTCTAGCCAATTGGCCTGGAACAAGAAAGTGCCGCGGTTTTGTCATCTGCAAAATGGAGATAATAATAGTATCTGCCTCATAAGTGTATGATGTGAAGATTATACGAGATAACAGAATAAGTAAATTGCTCAAAACAGTGCCTGGCTCATAGGAAGTCCTGTGCTTCCTGTATTAATATGACTACTACTTTATAGTTGAATAATTCATTCATCCAAGTTGTTATATGCAATTCTTTTTTTTAAATTAATTTATTTTTAGAGAGAGAGAGAGTGCATGAGTGGGGGGAAGGGGTGAGGGGAAGCAGACTCCCTGCTGAGCTGGGAGCCCAACATGGGGCTCAATCTCAGGACCCTGAGATCATGACCTGAGCCAAAACCAAGCACTGGATGCTTAACCCACTGAGCTACCTGGGCGCCCTTATTTTATGCAATTCTTTCAACAACCACATGAAGTTGGACAGATACCATTTACTCCATTTTACCTATGAAGAAACCAAGGCATAGAGAGTTTAAATGACTTGTCCATGATCACATAGCTGATCAGTGACAGAGTCTGGATTAAATTTTAGGCCACATAGATATGTTTGCATCTTTTGAAAAACTACCATGAAGAACATGGAACATAATTCAGAATCCCTCGGATAGAGATCTACCTAACAAATTATTTAGGATTTAATATCTAGGATGAAATAAGTGTTTCCTGAAAAAGTCACATATACCATCTTCTAAAAATCTGACAATAAGGACTTTATAAATTACCTTGTGTCCTTTGTTACTTGGAATTAAACTCTAAAATGCTGAAGTGTTATCCTATCGTTTTTATGCAACATTTTCTTCTATATTATTTTAATACTTATTTTTGACTGTCTTATTACATATGTAACTTTTTAAATTGATTTCAAACTGGTTTTTGTGAGGCAACCTTTAAAAAAATTTAACTATGGAAATCTTCAAACATAAACAAAGGTAGAATAAGGTACCCATTTAAGTGTGCAAGGAATTATGAGCACTGCAGAGACATAAAAGCACTGGTTTTATCTAGTTTGCTAAAAGAAATACGAATATTTACTATAAGAATATTCCCCCAGAAGTAATGAGAATCTGAGGCAGGCTATGTTCCTCACCTAAAAGCATGACCCTCATCATAAATCCTGAATAAGGAGAGCATTTCAGCCTGTGATCTCTAAGAAAAGGCTCCACAGAGCAGGTAGCCTGGAACAGAATTTCAATAGGTTTAGAAAAATGATGAAATGTTTATTTATAGTACCTCTTCTTCCCCCAACCTCCCAGCCCATCTGCATTAGCCATCTGTTTTTGGTTATAGTGACAGTACCTAACAATTTGTCATTGGCCGCAATTTCCATGCATATCCTTTTATCTTTTAGATCCTTCATCTAGCTATTAATTTGGAGTAGGTATAATATGGCCACTCATGCCTTTCCACCAGGCTTCTTTACTTCCAGAAATGGTTTTGCAGCTTTTGACCCAGCTTACAGTACATCTCATTTGACATGTATCACGGCTATTTAGGATTCTGTACACAGGATGCTGAATTAGATAAGCAATTAGATATACATCTTCTGTCTACAGGCTGCATAGACAAGGAGCTGTGCCTGGATGGCAGATCTAGAAACACAGTTGTATCCGTTTGCCCAGGGCATAGTGGGACTAACTCACACAGACTAAACCCAAAGAGACTACTGTATAAACCAGCATGCCAGTCTATTCCTTTATAACATGAGTTATATGTTTCTTTAACCAATCTTTAAGTGTATGCTCTCAAACACACACATGCGCTCTACACTCACCAAGAAGATTCTGTGTGAGCCAGGTGTCAGAGACAAAAAGTCCCCGAGGGACATTTCATCTCCTGACAATGGAGAACATCTAGCACTACTCCTTCATTTTACAAACAAGGAGGTTGAGGCCTAGAGAGATTAAGCGGTTTGTTCATGGTCATGAAACACGGCAGGCAGCGGGAGACCTGGGGCTGTTATCGCGAAGCATTTCTTCCAGTCCTGTAGCCCCGTTGCTGACACTAATTCTGATCTTCCACAGAGAGAAAAAATGCAAGCGGCCAAGGACAGGAAAAGGAAATAAAAGAGGCAGAAAGAGACAACAAAATACAAAACTGAAGGAGGAATCTCAGTCACAATTTAAAAAGGACATGAGGGAGAAAGCACTGGCACCTATGGAGAAAGAAACTGAACCGCCTAGGAGTATAACCGAAGTGCTGTCTCTGGTAGCCTCTCCCAAAAAAGTTGTGCCTGAGAGACAATTTTCTACAGTGGATCAAGAAAGCATTATACATCAGGAAAATTCTTCTGAGTTACAAGAAACAGTGGTACAAAACCATCCTTCTGAAACATGCCAAGATGTGGCTGACCCTGGAGCCCTCTCTCCTAAAATATGCCAAGAAACAGCCGTACTTCAAGGCCATCCTTCTAAAACGTGTCCAGATATGGCTGAACCTGAAGCCCTCTCTCTTACAATGTGCCAGGAAACAGCCGTATTTCAAAACCATCCTTCCAGATTGTGCCCTGATATGGCTGAACCTGAAGCCCTCTTTCCTAAAATGTGCCAAGAAACAGCTGTAGTCAAAGTCCTTCCTTCTAAAACACCTGAAGACATAGCTGACCTGGAAGGATGCTCTCTTGAAGCATTCCCCAAACCAGATATGCCTAAAGGGTATGTTCTTGAAACATACCAAAAAAGAGCTGAACCTGAGGAATACAATTCTGAACCAGATCAAGCAATGGCTGAGGTTGAAAGCTTCTTTCCTAAAACAGAAGAAATAGCTGTACCTAAAGACCTTTCTACAAAAACACACCAAGAGTCAGTTGAACCTGAACACTTCTCTTATGAAACATATAAAGAAATTGCTGTGCCTAAAGCATCCTCTCGAAACACAGTCCAAGAAATGCCTGCTCCTGAGGAATATCCCCCTGAAATATATCAAGAAACACCTGGACCTGAGGATTGTTCACCTGAAATATACCAAGAAACACTTGGGCCTGAAGACTATTCACCTGGAATATACCAAGAGACACCTGGGCCTGAAGACTATTCACCTGAAATATACCAAGAAACACTTGGGCCTGAAGATCTTTCTACTAAGGCATATAAAAATAAGGATCTGCCTAAAGAATGCTTTTCAGAACCATACCAAGAAACAGGTGGGCCCCAAGGCCAGGATCCTAAAGCACACCAGGAGGATGCTAAGGATGTTTATACTTTTCCTCGAGGTAGGGTGTTTTACTGGGATAAGTCAGCAACACTGCCACTTAATGGGGTTTTGTTCCCCATTTATAATGAGAGCACTAACATAGATGCATGTCCCTCAGAGTGGTGATTTATAGCCTTCTTTAACAATCATAGAGTATCTCCCGTTATTGCAAAGGATATCATTAATCTCATTAGCTAGTTTCGAGTAAAAAAATGTTTTTCATCCAACCAATGTTTGTTTGGCACATTTATGAAGAATTAAAAGAAAATAATTGAAAATATAAGTGTGTATAGTAGGTATTTGAGATACTCTCCATTCTGGGAAGCTTTAGCCAGTGAAGTGAAATGAACCCAACATAAGATGAATTATGTACAAAATATTTTAAAGAACAATCAAGTATAAATTAACAAGAAAGCTTCAGGAATACAGTTTTTCTTGACAATTTAGTTTGATGAAAATTCCCCAGCAAACTAAAAGCAAGTAAATTCAGGGTACAAGGTACCAAGGGATTTATAAAGGTACAAAATATGATCCTGTTACTGAGGAACTCATTTTTGTAGGATTTATCAGGTTTGCCAAAACCCCTCTCTATTTCAGTGTCTGTTCCTGAAAAGCCTTCTCCTAAGCATAACACTTTTAAGATAATGTGACCTTTCTTCAGTTTGACTTAAGCGAGAACCTCGATTGCCTTTTACAATACCGTAGACAGTGTAAGCAATGGGCTGAATCTACCAGACCAGAGTTCTCCCCAGGGAATTGTTTTCTAAAGAAATCCCTCTGGTAGCTTATTTGTTCTCGTTCCTAAAAGATGAGTGCAACAAAAGCAGGGGGTTAGTTGGGTTCCCACAGGTACAGGTTTTGAAGAAATACCTTGAAAAAATTAGAGTAAAAAGCAGACAGGCAAGGGGTGCCTGGGGGCTCATTCATTAAGCGTCCGCCTTCGGCTCAGGTCACGGTCCCAGGGTCCTGGGATCGAGCCCCACATCAGGGTCCCTGCTAGGCGGGAAGCCTGCTTCTCCCTCTCCCACTCCCCCTGCTTGTGTTCCCTCTCTTGCTGTGTCTCTCCCTGTCAAATAAATAAAATCTTAAAAAAAAAAAAAAGCAGACAGGCGAAGCATGGGCCTATGCCAACAGGAGCCCCTGCTGGAGAAGCAGCTCTCATCCACACAGGGCACCGTTCTAAGAGGTTCATTCTTGCTAAGGTTAATGTGGGCAATTAATTCATGCTTTTCTTGTTTCGGGGTTTTGTCTGGCCAAACGAAGGGAAATATGTACCCTTTTTACTGATTAGAAAATATTCATAATAATGAATTATGAATGTTTATTATGATAAATGAGAGCAATATGTAAGTGAATATAGAGTAAGTCCACTCTAATACCATCTCCTATCTCTGATCCTCATCCGGAAGGTTGTTTTCCTTTGTTTTAACAAGTGAGATAGTAGAATACATCTATTCTGTAACCTGCATTTTTTCACATACATTATATATCATGGCCATCTTAATGACATCTTTGGTAACATTTGTATGGTATGCTGTTATCTGTGCAATAACTTGTTCAACCAATCTTTGAAATGACGAACATTTAGGGTACTGCCAAGTTTTACTATTATAACAGTATTCAATGAACATCATTGGAAGTAACATTTATTGGGCACTTTCTATGTGCCAGAAACTATTAAACCTTTTGTGTGAATTATTTTATTCAATGTTAAAAGCCCTAATAGAAAAACAATTATTAACCCCATTTCATAGATAAGGAAACTGAGGCACTGGAAGCTTCAGTTTGTCTGATTATATTCTTTGGATAAATCCCCAGAAATTGAAATGCTGAGCCAAAGTGTACCCACATTTAATGTTTGGATACATTCTGTCAGACTAGCCTCCACAAATATTGTAGCAACTCACACAAACCAAGAGTTTATATGTGTCTTTCCCCTAGGCCCTTGCCAATACTTCATCTGATTACATTTAAAAAACTTTTCTGGGGCACCTGGGTGGCTCAGTTGGTTAAATGTCTGACTCCTGATTTTGGCTCAGGTCATGATGTCAGTCAGGGTCCTAGGATAGAGTCCCATGTCAGGGTCTGCGCTCAGTAGGGAGCCTGCTTAAGGATTCTCTCTCTCCCTCTGCCATTTCCCCTGCTCTTGCCCCCACTTCTCTAAAAAAAAATAAATAAATCTTTTTAAAAAATAAAAATAAAAAACCGTCTCCTATATGTTAGGTTAAAAAAAACCAAAACCAAACAATCTAATTGTTTTAATTTCCACTTTTTAAATAACTACTGCTACTAGGCATTAGTATTATCACAATTTGAATTTCATGACTGTTATAAGTTTGAATTTTTTCTTTTGAGAATTGCCTGTTTGAATTCCTATTCCATTTTAAATTTGATTTTTTTGGATTGATTTTAAAAATCCCTATATAATAGTTATTAAGCCTTCACCTACATATGAGTTATAAATATTTTCCCTGTTGGTTTTGATTTAACTTTATTTATAGTGTTTTTTGTCATCTACATGATAAGATTTTAATTATTTATTTATTTTATTTATTTTTTTAAAGATTTTATTTATTTTTTTGACAGAGAGAGAGACAGCGAGAGAGGGAACACAAGCACGGGGAGTGGGAGAGGGAGAAGCAGGCTTCCCACTGAGCAATGAGCCCAATGTGGGGCTCGATCCCAGGACCCTGGGATCATGATGTGAGCTGAAGGCAGACGCTTAACGACTGAGCCACCCAAGCGCCCCAATTTTTAATTTTTATTTATTCAAAACTGTCACATGATTTTAATATTTAGTTATTCAAACCAGTCATTCTTTTCCCTTATGGTTTCTGGTCTGTGTTCTGCTTAGAAAGGCCTTTCTAATCCTAAGATTATAAAAAAACATTTTATTGTTCCTACAACACTTATGGTATTTTAATATTTAAATCTTTAATTCATCTGAAATTTGCTTTTGTGCGAGGTATGAGGTAGAGAGTTTTTTTTTCTCTAGGTAGTCAATTGTTTCAATACCATTTATGGAACCTATTTTCATATTTTATTTTACAGAAATGAGAGAAAAACCCAAAGCAGAAGAACCAGAGATACCAGCAATTCCAAATGTTCCTCAAGAAATTCATCCAGAAAATGATGTCTTTAGTTATGTTTTGTTTTAACAATGCTCAACCATCAATAGTTGTCCAACAAAATACACATCTTAATATATTATGTGTGTGGTTTTTTCAAAACACTGTAGATCTCTACAATACTCATTAATATTTTAAGGTTTTTTTTTTCATGTATAGACTATATCTGGGAGAACGAAGGTGTTTTTTCAGGCTCTATTACATAGATGATATCCTGCTAGTGTGTGCATGTGCGTGTGTGTGTGTGTGTGTGTGTGTGTATACGTATATCGGGGTGAGGATAGTGGGGGGAGAGACAGAAATGGGGAAGGGATGGCTGAATAACTGATCCCCCCCTTAAGAACAAACCTTTCTTTGGTTAATTCCTTTATTTTAATTTATTTTTTCCTTGGTTAATTCTTTTTTTTTTTTTAATTCCTTGGTTAATTCTTAAAAGTAGAGAAAGTATTGTCTGAACACTTAAAATCCGGGGGAGTAATAGTTTTCTTGTAAACTTTGTTCACTTATCAATGTAACAACAGCTTCAACATTTTATTCAGACTTGGTAGGCTTTTAAAGTTAATTTTGACAATTACTCTGGGACTCCTTCAAAGATATTTTGAGGTGATGAGTGATGAATACAGTTTCCTGGAGTGTTTGAATTTTGACTTTCTCTTTTTCCTTTTTAAATATTGTATTTGTGCAGAATGTACATTAAATCTTTATTACATGTTTCACCATTACCAGGGGTTTAATCTAGTCTTGTGGGGGGGGGAATAAAACAGAATATAAATAATAGTAAATGCTAGTGTCATTTGAAGGGTAGATACAATAGAGGAAACACTCACTTTTTTTTTTTTTTTTTTTGCTGGAGTGACCTAAAAAAATTACATCTTCAAGGAGCCTTGAAATATGGAAAAGATTTGTACTGTAGGTGAGGATTGTGGCTTTATTGTATTGTATGTGACACAGAGAAGGATGAATTCAGGACATAGTCAAGAGAACTATATGCAAACTACAGGTGATGCACGGTCCATGTGGAATAGCAGGCTAATAGGCTAAAGATCTCATATTATTAGAGTGGACAGAATTTTGCATCCCTAAGAAGTATGTGTTAGGTAATGTGGAACTAAGTAAGGCTTTTGAACAATGCAGTTTTAGTATTTTAAGAATATCTATCTGGTGATAATGGTCAGGGTTAGCTGAAAACGAAAGATACTGAGGGCAGGGATAGGAGTTATTCTGGGTGGGAAGATATCTGAAAACTGCAGTTCTCCATCTATTAGTACAGAAGACTCAAAGTGAAGGCTATTTTTACAAGTAAAGGTTTAGTTCAGCAAGGACACAATGGTACAAGCTCTCCATATAGGTACAGAGGCACTGTGCCAGGTACTAGGCTAGACAGTGAAGAACAAGACAGAATCCCAGTTCTCACAAGTGTTCACAGGGTAGAAAGAGGTTCTCAACCCTCAGGATCCATTAGAACCACTGGGGAAGATTTCAAAATTACAGCTGTCCAGACACCTCCCCAGAGATTCTGATTTACCTCTCTAGGATGGCATCCAAGCAATTTTTTAAGTTGCTTTTTTGTTTTAAATAATATTTTTGAGAAATAATTTTAGAAATTATAGAACACTTTTAACGACAGTACAGAAGTTTCTGTATACCTCTCACCCTCTTTATCCTAATGTTAACATGTTCTGTAACCATGGTCCATTCATAAAAACTTATGAAATTAAGACAGTGACATTACCATTATTTGGATTTCCTTAGTTTTCTACTAATGCCATTTTTCTGCTTCAGGATCCAATCTAGGATACAACATTATATTTAGGGTATTTGAAAAGGTCCCCAGGTGATTCTAATGTGCAGCTACAGTTGAGCGCCACTGGTATAGTAGGAGGTTACAATGCTTTTCCCTCCTGTTGGCACACACTCCCCCCACCAGCATTACATTTTTTTTCCCTCCTGGGATATATTTATCATACAGGGATTACTCACACCCCGTTATATTAGTCCAGTGACATATTGAGGGCAGCATTACCATATAATAGTCACTTACATCTGGATGGCACTTCAGAATTTATATTTTCATATACACTTATTTGATTTGCACAGGACTCTGTGAAATGGGCGGGTCAATGATTATCATTCCAGTTTTATAGATGAGGGAATAGTCTCAGAGAGGCTGGGTACTCACCTAAAGTCACATCTAACTTCTTCAATGCTTTTCTATGCTGGGTCTAATCTTAAGAAATCTTGTCTCAATTCACCTGCCAGAGTGGGTCAACATTAGAAGAAAAAGAGTAAATGGAAGTTTCATGTTCTAAGAGGGTTGCATTAAGATGAACCATAAGATACTTGCGTATGTACAATGCACAGGGGCATGAAGGTGAAAGAGATGAGCAAGTAGATGGAATGAGGCATATAGTACATTAGGAGGAGAGGGATCTTCTCTTTTTACCTCTTAGGACCCTTTCTGCTTGTCCTCTTACCCCACTCCCTGTATACACACAACCTCTGCTTTCTCACTATTCTCATTCAAACACCAGTGTGCATCTAAACATTTTCCAGTTTTCTTCTTTGGCTTTGAACCTTGAAGTCACAGAATCAAAAGTTTTGCTACCATTTACCCCTACTTTGTGCTACTTTCCTCTCATGGTAGGTACAATACTGGTTCTTAAAAATCCATGAATCCGGGGCGCCTGGGTGGCTCAGTCATTAAGCATCTGCCTTCAGCTCAGGTCATGATCCCAGGGTCTGGGATCGAGCCCCGCATCGAGCCCCGCATCGAGCCCCGCATCGAGCCCCGCATCGAGCCCCGCATCGGGCTCCCGGCTCAGTGGGAAGCCTGCTTCTCCCTCTCCCACTCTCCCCGCCTTGTGTTGTCTCTCTCTGTCAAATAAATAAAATCTTAAAAAAAAAAATCCATGAATCCTATGCTTTTAAATCTAATATTATGCATGAGAAGTCCCAAAGCTTTAATTGCTTTTCAAAGGGATCCTTCATCCAAATGGAAGATTAAGAACTATTATAAGGAGAAGTGTTTATCTAAGTGTAGGCTGATGACCACCTATATTAGATTATTTAGGTTTTTTTTAAAGGCAGATTCCTAGGTCTCACCTCCAAAGAAACAGTTGCCTTATAAACTACAAATAATCAGATATAACTCCAGAAAGGATAATAAAAAGCCTCGATCACATAATAAAAGTGCTACATATTTAAGTTCCTGTTTTCCATAAAAAGAAAATTTACCTTTGAAATTTAGATGTAGCAAGCTGCTTCATCAGAGTCTCCAAATCGGCTTTGCATCGCAGTCCTTGTCACACTCAGTAATGCGTTATTTTACATGATTATCATTAGATAATGGTATCTAGGGTCAGGAGGGCAAATACCTCTCATTTTCCGCATTAGTCTGTCCACAAATTAAGCGAGACATCACTTTCAACACCACCATCTAGTGGCAAACGCAGCTATTACGGCCCCAGTTTTATAAAGTGTATATAGCTCAATGGTTCTCAAACTTGTTTTTGCAGGAGCACAGATTAATGGCATTCCTCCTGGAAACAGATTAATAGCATTCTTTTCCAAATGTTCATGGACAGAGGACGGAGAACAGATATATGAATTTGATCACTTTTAAAGTGTTTTAGTTTTATTATTTTTAAAAGATTTTATTTATTGGAGGGAGACGGAGATAGCGAGAGAGAGCCGGAGCAGGGAGGGGAGGAGAAGCCGAGTTCCCGCTGAGTGCAGAGCCCTTACATGGGACTAGATCCCAGCACCCTGGGATCATGACCTGAGCCGAAGGCGGACGCTTAACTGACTGAGACACCCAGGCGCCCCAAAGTGTATGTGTTTTAAACCACAACCCACTCTTTATATCTTCAGCTGTTGCTGGTTGTTTTCTACTAGTGATCTATAACTCCATGACAAATGAAAAGGTTTAGCAACAGATTTTCATGGCTGAGCTTTTAAAATCTGTGGACTTCCACGCTTTTGAATATTTCATATTGCAAGCCATATGTTCCCCCACCCCAAACAGGATTAAAAAAAACCCAGAAACAGAATTATATGTACAGAGAAACTTGATATAGGGGAGAGATGAGGTTACAAGTAAGTAGGTGAAGGGATAGTATCGCTGCAAATTTAACTGGTCATCGCATGGGATGAAAACAGGATTCTTGTTGGCTCTCAACATTTCATAGCTGCCCAGAAACAAAGCTCACAATCTCTCCCATGTACATGGCATATTGACTCTCAATTTCATTCTTGCTTCAGTTCCCGGGTGGTATGGAACACAAAAAAGCCCCCACTTCTTAACCTCTATTCCAGTGTGACGCTCCCCATCCATTAGACGTGAAATAAGGCTTACTTAGGGTTCCTTGCTGACAAAACATCGTTTTTATTGTGGAAAAATTGGGAGTACACATAAGTACAAAATAATCATGTGCATTCCCACCACTCAAGAATTTCTAATTTCCTAATATCCGATCGTTATGGTATGTGGTAACTGCATATACACATCCTTTTTCTTTAAAAATCTGAGTCATTCATTGGACACGTAGGTTTAATGTTTGAGAGAGACATCACAGTGCGTAAATCTTCATCGAAGTGTCCCCCTTCTCAAGCGCGGGAATTCGGAGTTGCTGACTGGCAGGGAATCGCAGCGGGTCAGCGGCAGGGAACAGAGAGCCAGGTCCGGGAGAGGAACCAAGGCCGGGAAATGGAAATCCAAACCCTAAAGGAGCCACCAGCAGCTCCGGCCAAGAGCGCGTCCCACTCCCGGCGCATGCGCCAGGCCCTGGCCCCACACTACCCCGCCAGGGCGGCTACTGCGCAGGCACCAAGCTCGGAGACCGGAAGCGGAAGGCCTGTCGCGTCGAGTCGACACCTCAGTGAGTAGCAGCCATGCGCGTCTTGGAGGAGCCGGGGCCTCAGCCCACAGCGACCCCATGCGGGTGCGTGAAGCCGGCTCTGGAAACAGGTAACTTCTGAGAAACCCGCGGTTCCGCACTCAGAAGAGGCCTAGGCTCAGGCCGCTGACGTGACTGTAGAGAGGGACGTAAAATGCAAGAACTTGAACCGGAGTGCGTCATTCTA